TTTTACTATGTCCCTTTTCATGATACATAACAACAGCAAGTTTTTCTCTTACATTCCATACTCTTCGTACTTTTTCTAATATTCTTGCACAGTTGGTATTTTTATTTGCGTATGGACCCATATTACTTATGACAAAGTTGTAAAGAAATGGCAAATTTATGTTGTGATTATAAGTACAAAAAAAAAAACCAAAAAAAAAGGTTTAAAGTCAAAAAAAAAGACCAAAATTAAAATAAATAAAATTCTGATCGCGTTATCTGCGAAATTCGCGTCATTCGCGAAATTCGTGTCATTCATATCATATAACATATTATGGCTTTATTTCAAAGGAATGTTAAAAAATTAAAAATTTGAAAGTAAAAAAAGATGATCGACGATTATGATTAATATCCCCCTTTTATTGTATTCCCGTTGTGTAATATTAGATTTTCTTGAATAGTACCCGGTACTGCGCGTTTTGCGTCATAATTACTGTAGTATTACAATGTTAAATAGTTTAATTAATTTACTGTGAACAAAAATATTCCAAGAATTATCTCGTTTCGAAACCACAAAAAATATATGAACAATATGTAAATGCTTTCGCATTTTCAAAATGGTAGAAAGTCATAATATTGCACCAAACAAAAAGGAACTTCACAAAGTAGTTGGCAAACAACAAATAAGGATTATATTGAAAACCTTATTTCCAGCCTATTAAGGACACCCATTCAACCTCCTTCCCTTCACCTTTTTTTCATAATCTTCACAACAAAAATTTCGTAATCAAACCTTTATCACCTTCACTACCTTTAGAAATTACCTTTAGAAATTCTTCCCAATCCCTCTAATAATGCATCAGTACAAAAGCAATCCGTTACTTATATTCAAAAAGCCAAGGTTGAAATGTATGAATATACTAAGCTGTCACGGGACTAAATTTTAAAAAATTAAAATGACTAATATCTGTGACTCCCAATGGGATGCGGTTAAGTATCTTGAAGCATTAGAAAATTGCAAGTTTGGTTTGGAAAAGGCTACCGTAACAAGAAGATTCAAAACACAATTGCAAGAGATAAACGCACAAGGCACAGAAGAAGAAAAGAAGAACGCAATACGCCTCGAAGATCAGTTCAACGTTAGTATATCTTTCATAGCTATGTAACTGCAGATTAGTTTGTCACATTCAGTAGCCATCCACTTTCGTTTCCATACTTCGTCTCCATACTACAGCTACCCATGGAACTTCGTCTTCGCATGGTTATGGACTTCGCCTCCGCTGTTGGCTACAGCTACCCATGGAACTTCGTCTTCGCATGGTTATGGACTTCGCCTCCGCTGTTGCCAGCTTGTGACTTGCTAATTTGCAGTTTTGGATAACCTTTTACTAATACATATATTTTATTTTCATAAGATTGAATCTAGGAAAACGGGACTAGTTGACAATTTCTGGATGAAACGTCACAATTTTATGAAACACGAAAATTTGAAGGTTAACAGCACATTTTTATCTTGTGATGGAGTACAGATCGGTTGTATTGGTAATAACATTCAAGGACAAAAACGACCTTATGAGGATCGCGAACAACCAGACGTTGAAGAAATGATATCAACCGAAGGGAGAAAAAAACAAAAACCTGTAATTATCTTTAATCAAGAATGTGTAATTGAGATTAAAGGTTCTTCATAAATTTGTTGCATAAATGAAAATAAACCTTTGGATGTATATATAGGTCGAAACTATTATTGGAGATGACGAGAGACGAATTCCAGAACGACAAATACATCCATCAGAATTAAGTGTACCATCGGGTTCAGCTGAGGAAGTATCTCCCGTTATCACACCTCTTCCCAACCTTCGCAATCCCACTCCCCCTCCAAGTTATAACAGCATGAATAATTCTTTCAACGGAGAATCAACCGAAGTTGAGAAAGGATCAACTGAAGCCTCACCAGTAATGTTTTTTTCGTTTTGTTTATTGTATTATGTGTATAAGTTCGTTTCTAATCTGCATTGCTTTTTAAAGTCAAATTATCGCTATGAATCTGATACAGGGATTTCACGTGAGGGCGACAATAATCCTTTTATAGCACAGGCAGGGGAAACGGAATATAAGGTTAGTGTTAATTGATGACAACATAATAAATAATTGCCACGACTTTGTCATTGGCTAATTTGGATCATATTATTTAAGTTCGTCTTGTCATGGAGTCACACGATTGATAAAGTTGGCATAAATAATGTCTCTGAAAATGACGTAAGCATTGAGAAATATCGTTTTGTGGTATTTTTATCCTGACATATTCTAATCCCGCTCTCTTTTTATACAGTGGTTAACACAGGATGGATACAACATCTCTATCGATTTTCGTAAGTTTCAAGCAGAATCAATCAAAAAATTGGAAATTAATCCGACTTTATCATATGCGAAAGAAATTGATACGATATTGTAAGTATTTTCTATGCAAAGTTACAAAATTTTGGCTATAATATTTAACTTTGTATATACTTCAGGTGTCTATCATCGATTATTTATTGCAATGAACTTAAGCCAGAATACGTTGAATGTTCCGAAAAGACAGAATGAAGCTCGTCCAAGATCATTAATTCCGAAGGAGTTGCCGACAGTTGCTGACTTAGTAATAATCGAATACAGCAGGGTAAATATCTTCCTTGATATTACTATAAGCAACCAGCAAAACACATTAATTTGTTTATTTGTGCTTTTCTAGCTTTTGAATGACAAACAATCACTCAATACAAAGTGGCGTAACAATTGGGCAAAAGGGAATACATTATTAACAGACGAAGATAAAGACATCTTTGACTGTGTGCAGATAGTTTCGAGAAATTTGTAAGTTTTAAATTTTATAAAATGTTTGTTAATGGTATTATTAATACTCATTTTTTGCCTCGCAGTTTTACCTATTTGTCTTCGGTGAGTTATAATGAGAATAAAAAATTGGACGAAGATACGTTCATCCATCGATACTGTCATCAGATACTGGAAGAAATATTCAATAAAACCGAACTCTCATTAGTTTGGTAAGTCTCATGCAATCATTACATTATACCATTATACTAGATACAGTATATACGCTTACATTTTCATTATTGAAATAAAGGGCTAATGGGGAGTCCGAAAGTTCCAAAGAGAGACGTTTATTGGATGGTCATAACCATGGCAGAAAACCAGACTTCCGGATCCTCTCAAAGATTGATGACACTATATTCGGTGAGATAAAGCCACCGCATTGCTCTAATACCATAAATAAGAGTATCATTAAATTAGCAGAATTCATGAAAGGGTCTTTAGATTTTATTATTAATATTTACGGCTATGTGGCTGGCCTGGAAACGTATGGTATATTAATTTGTGGTAAGTTATCTCTATTATAATTTTGTTGATGTTCGATTGCCAAACTAATAGAATTAAAACCAATAGGAAGCGAAATTAAAATTTTTAGTATCGATTTGGTATATGACGGTCTATACCGTTGTAATCTATTATCGAAAGTATTGTTCCCGACGGAAAGTGCGAATTTTTTAAACATTATCACTGTAGTATCTACCCTATATTCATTATTGGTAAGAATCTTACTTCATAATCTTCAAATAAGTTGCTTCGCAGTTTGGTCTCATTATTTTTATTTATGTAGGAAAGGGCAAGATCTACTATTAATATTATAAATTCATCTCAATTAATCACTGAATCATCCTCCCCCCGTCACTCATATTGTCGAAATTCAAATTCATCGCCTAAAAAAATACGTGTACCGATAGTCAGAGTTTAGTGGTTTTTATGTTGGCTGAACAGTAATGTGATAGTTTATGTTCATTAATGTCGATGTATGTATTTTCATATTAAATAAAACGTTACAATGCAAAAAGTAATATTCATGAAATAAGGCCAAATGCATCATATCTTAATTGTTTACTTGAATATGGCATCAGAAGAATAAAAAATTTTATATACCAATTTTCCATACATATTTGTACAAGTGTTAAACCACGTGTTTTTATTGAAATTTTTTCTCTTATTCTTTTTGGGACGCACGCAATTTTTTTATGTATATGATATATGAGCATATATGTGAGAAGGCAGGATCGAATTCTATTCATCCAATTTCAGGGGCGTGTCCCAACCTAATCTAATTGCGAGTGGATTATCAGTTGCCTTAGTAAAATCGAAGACCACAAAATTACGATCTCGCAAATGTTTGTCAATAATCTATGATGCTTTTTTTGGATTGTCCGTATATTGACGCACAATTCTGCATATATCTTCACGACTCCCTGAGCCTCGAAATAAAGCTTAAGTGTGAAATATTCTCACGAATAATTTTAGGGGTTTGTATATACTTCTGGCTCACATATATACTTGATACGCCCTGATGTCGGCCACTAATAAAATATGGAACAATCCGATCCTGAATTTATTTTGATTCAGCACAAAGATCCTCAAAGACTACAACAGTGTTTCTAATTGGCGAGAACTTAGTTATGTCTGGAATTGCATCTGCTTTTAACGCACGAAATGTTACATTTTCCCGATATGTTTTTGGGCCTTTCGAAAAAATTTCATAGCAGTTTTTCACCAATACCCATTTGGGCTCATGGATATGCTTTCCGATTAAAACTAGATCATCATTCTTGATATATCGCTCCCCTTTCTTCTCCTTGTATAAACATTGGATTTTATTACCAAGAAGAAGATTGAGAATCATATTAGTTTTTCCACTATCTGATCCACCGCAAATTAACAAACGAAAAGGAAACGCAGGACTTGCAGGGTGATTCATATTCTTTAAATTTTTGGTCTCGTTAAGATGATATATATAATACTCCATTTTTCTCATTTTTTTTGGGCTGAGCATGAAAATTACTATATCGAAAAAATAAGGATTTTAATGAAATACACGCATTTAAAGTTCCATATTTATTCTATAAGACCCAGTTCTCGAAGATAATCTGGAATAACTATATGCGGATCGTCGTAATACCAGACATATTTTAATTCGATGCAATTTTCTTCGCATAATTCTTTCTTGAGTTGATCCCGCTCTTGCTGTCTGATAAAATTAATTGTGTCTCCTCTATGAAAGAATTCTATACCAATACTGTGCCAAATGATCTGCAAAATTTCGGATTTTGATGATTCTTAGGATCCACAGGATTCTGGGGATTCGTAGGATTCTTAGGATTTACTGGATTCTTCGGATT